GAGTGTAGTTAGTTTGAGTTTGAATACATAGCATAATTTTTTGAAAATGTGGTCCAGTTTAGAAAATAAAATGATAAGAATTATTTGAGTTTGAGATGATTTTTTTAAAAAACAAATATTACGTAAATAATTAAAATGATAGTAAAAATAATATTACAATATTTAGAAATAATGTGTTCATAAAATTAAGAATTTTTTTTCTATGATTAAATAAATTTTTAAAAATACAAAATAAATTTCTAATATTGGTAATCTTAATAATGAAAATTAAAAGTAAAATTAAATTTTATCTTATAGCTAAAAAAGAAAGAAAATTTAACTGCATCTAATACAAAATTAATTATAAGAGAACTCAATACATTTGACACATGATAATCAAATAAGTTATGTATTAATATTTTAGAGTAATTAAAAGTTACAATTTAAAACAAAATATGACATTATTTTGGTTATAGGTAAAATATTAATATAAAACTAATTAACATTTATAGTAGGAAAGAGAATGTATATTAAAAAGAAAATAGAGGTAGTGTGAGGATACTTATACTTTAAATTAATTTTAATATAGATAAAATAAAATAATTAATTATATTTAAAAATGTTACTGACAAATTTAAATGATTAAGATATTATGAATAAGAGGATAAAAGCATAAAAATATATCAAATTTTGAGAATAAAATATTTATTTTTATCACATGCTATTAAAAGGATAATAAGCAAGACATTAATTTAATTATAAGCTAACAAAAAATTATATGATGGTATAATAATATGAAATATTAAATAATACAATAACTATAAGAAAAGAACAAAAAAAAAAGAATTTACGTAAAAATGATGTGATGAATAAGACATATTTGACTTCCTGATAAAAATAAAGTGATTGTAAGAATTTTGTTAAAATAATATGATCTAATTTGCTCGAACAAGACAGATCACAATACGACATGCTTAGTATTCTTTAATATCGACAACAGAACGAAATGCAAGTACTAAAATCAAGGGGTTAGGTTGCTACAAATATATGTTAAAAAGATTGGTTGTCTACTACAAGATTTGATTAATAATTTCATATCTTGCTTCATAATTAAATTCTCATGTTATATAATTTTTATCTGAGATATATATATTTTAAAGTTATTTGTATAAATATATGTTAAAAAGATTGGTTGTCTACTACGAGATTTGATCAATAATTTCATATCCTGCTTCATAATTAAATTCTCATGTTATATAATTTTTATCTGAGATATATATATTTTAAAGTTATTTGTATAAATATATGTTAAAAAGATTGGTTGTCTACTACGAGATTTGATCAATAATTTCATATCCTGCTTCATAATTAAATTCTCATGTTATATAATTTTTATCTGAGATATATATATATTTTAAGGTTATTTGTACATGATTCAAACAATATACATCGTAATTTGAAATGATTTGTCCGCGCATCGCGCGGATACTAATACTAATTTTAATATACTTGGAAAAAAGATATGGCCACTGTTCCCCTGTGATAATGGGTCAAACTTAACATAATTATATATCTAAATGATGGAGATATGTACTTTGCTGAAAATTAACGGCTTGTTTGGATGGTTGTTTCCGTTGTATCGTATTGTATTGTTATCCCAAAACAATGTTTGTTTTGATTGTTTCATTAAAATTGATTGTATTGTATTGTTAAATCTATTGTTTCGGAATAATAAAAAGTCCTCTTTTTTGAAACAACCGATTTGATGTGGTGAGATTGTTTCCTATTTTTCTTTTCAATTATGCCCTAACTTATTACTCAACAATTCTATTTTACCGTTTACCTTTTTTTCTATTTTAACTCCAAATCTCCAACCTATAACTTACTTTGTTTTTTTCAAGAACTTCTGTCACCAATGTTAAAGATGTTTTACGGCCTTCTGTTTTGTTTTTTCTCCTAATTTGCTTTTACTCAATCCAAATTAGTTGCGCTCCTTCATTTTGCCTTCTTCTGTCTCGCTCCTTTGTTCTGCTTTTTTAAGGTGTTTTGCCTTCTTCTGTTCAATTTTTAATAAATTTAATATTTAAACAATTGAGGGTGTTTTAGTCAACATCAGTTACAGTATAGTAAGATACAGTCAAACCAAATAGTAAAATATTATTTTACAATAGCAAACAATACAATCTATCCAAACATTGTATTTATAAAACGATACGATACAATACAATACAATACATTATAAAACGACGAGGAACAATGATCCAAACAGAGTGTAACTTGATCTATTTACTTATAACATGAATATTAGCAATATACTTTAGGGTGAATATTCCACTTGTACATCTCATTGATAGGGGCATTTGCATCTATACCTGTTTTTTGTGTCACGTTTTAACTTGTGTCCGCTTTACAAAAAAAATTGCAAGCGTACCCATTTTTTATCATAACTTCAGCATACGGGGCTGAAGTAGCAAAGGCAATCACGCAAAACTTCAGCATTCTAGTAGCCGGGCCTAAAGTTCAGCTCTAGAGCTGAAGTTTTGTTTTGTAACTGGCGAACTTCAGCTCTAGAGCTAAAGTTTTTTTCTTTGTAACTGGGGAACTTCAAGTTTTTGTTTGTTTATAATTTCATTTGAGTCGCCGTAATTTTACAAAGGTTCCGCTTTTTATTGTGCGTAGGGAGTATGATAATTTGTCTTAAATGCAGAAAATTGCAGCAGTTGGAAATACAAAACGTATGAACTTTTCCATTCGTTCGCAGGTGAGAATTCTTCGTTCCCTTCGAGATTTTGTCTTCCAGTTGATGTTCATGATGCTCTGAGCATTGAATCTAAGAATTGAAAATTTAATATTATTCTTATACACGAAGGAGATCTTGTCTCTCTTGAAGAATAATCATATTTTTACTATTATTATTCTTATCAAGATAGAACCTTTACAGCTGAGGGTGTCCGCGAAAAGGAATAAGAAGAAGCAGATAGGGATGTACCTTACTTCTTGAAAAAGAAAAGATAAAACTTTGAGGAGGAGAAGGAGGAGAAAGGGGGCTGAAGTTGTTAAAAAGTGGGTACAAGTTAAAAGTTTTTTAAAAAATGGGTATAGGTTAAATGGGGGCGCCGCAATTTTTACTCATTGATATGGTACACGCACGTGCCCAAATACTAGTTGTAAAGAAAAAATATGGAGACTTGTGTTTACTTACTTTATTTCAAACGAGATCTTAAGTTTACATATACGAAATTACAAAGAATTCAAAATTATCAAAGCTAAACGGGAGAAATGGAAGAAAAATTTACAAGTCAAAAATGAATCTTCGAGAGAAATTTTCGAACCACAGCTGAAATTAAGTTAACGCTTTGATGTAAACGTTAAGACATAAAAAATCCATAGTAACCAGCTGAATGCAACCCCGCATCTAAATTGGATAATACTGCTAACAAGACTTCAATGAGAAACTTAATGGAAATATTAGCATAAATCAAGATTACCAAGAAGGTTCAGAACCACCTAAAACACATAAATGTTGGTAATCAGAGAACAGAGCCGCATATGTTACAGTTGGTTTGTTATTCTCTCCCATTATCTAACCATTTCAGCATAAACTACAAGAATGAGAAACAACAAAGGGAGGAAAAAGAACATGGAAAAGAAGGGAGGAGGGATCTTTAACACCTAAGAAAAGAAATCCTACGACAACCGAAAAACTAAAAGAAAATAAAACAAAAAGACCACGATTTATCGTCTTAATCTTTCAAGGTATCCAAGAAGCTCTGCAACTCCTTCAAACCTTCTGCAGAAATGCTCCTATGTACCCTTCCACGTGGTGCAACCAAGTTAGGAGGTGGCTGCTTCTTAAAACACACCACAACCACTGATAGATTGTCCCCGCTCTTTCTTTTCAAAGCCTCGTCAACGAGATCTTTGCTGCACATCACTGGATCATTGTGTTCTTGGAGCCTTCGACGAGCGAAATCCACAGCATTTTGGCTCATGAAGACATCCCATATACCATCACAGCCTATTATGAGAAACTCGTCCTCTTCTGTAAGTCTGGTGCTCATAAGTTCGGGTTCTCCACTAAGGGGACCACCATCAACTGATTTTAGTCCTTCCAGGTGCCAATCTCCTAAAGCACGAGCCACATTGAGTTGTCCATTCAGGTAACCGTCATCCACATATCCTCCGGAAGCTTCAATGCGTTCTTTTTCCCTCAAACAAACTGGTTTGTGATCCCTCGACATCTCAATAGCTTTACCACGGCGACAGAGTACAGCTCTGCAGTCTCCAGCATTTGCCACAACCAGAGAACTGCTTTCCATGCAAAATATCAAAGGAAAAGAGATGCTTAGGGATCAGCAATGAAAGCAAAAGAAAGATAAGATAAAAGTAAATCCTCTTCACTCTAGGCTGTGAAAGCATGTGGGGAGGGGGAGATAGTGCGTAGATCCAAGAATTTACTGACAATGGTGCCAGCAAATGAACAAGAAGTCATGGTTTTCATAGTGATAGATACATCTTTTAGATAAAATTAGATTACATTTTCCTCAGAGAAATCTAATATTGAATGTAAATGGTACAATAAATTCATCTTTTTTTTTGAATTGGTAACTATTGTATATATTATAAAAATCAGTACATAGGTTGCACTGAAAACCAAATTTACATAGAGAGAATTTGAAGATATTCTAATTTAAAACCAGGCAGGATCCTAGTATGTCTACGATTGTCAATGTATCTTCTGTGTACATCTGTTTGCACCAAAAACAAAATAGAAGAATACAATTGAGTTTGATCTTCTGCAGTGGATTGTTTCTGTCTTCAAAACATCTAGTGTTTCTTTCCCTCCAAACTGTCCACCAGATACATGTCGGAACAGTCCTCCATCTATCTCTGCTAGTTGCTTCAGCTCCAGCTTCTTCCCAGCTATAAATGACATCTTTAATCCTGTATGGCATTGACCATGAAATACCCCTAAGACTAATAAAGATTCTCCATAGTTGGTCTGTAATCTTGCAATGTAGAAACAAATGGTTAACAGTTTCTGCATTTTCCCCACACAGAAAACATCTTGAACACAGAGATATTCCCCTTTTTATGAGATTATCCTGGGTTAAAACCGCCTCCTTTGCTAGTAGCCAAGTGAAGCAAGCTACCTTGTATGGAATCTTTGTTTTCCATATATGTTTCCAAGGCCATGTGTCTACCTGTTGATTGTCATGATTCAAAATCTTATATGCATCCTTCACTCGGTAAATCCCTTTGTTGTGCCTCTTCCACCATATTGAATCCAACCCTTCCTGTAATCCTGTAAATGCTTCCAGCTCTTTGTAGAGGTCAGTTAATCTTGTTATCTCCCAGTCATTCAGCTGTCTTCTTAGAGCTATTTCCCATCCTTGACAACTCCTCATTTCAGCTACTGTCTTATGCTGGTTTTGTGCTAAACCGAACATATCTGGGTATCTTTCCTTTAAGCTTCCAATTCCTAACCAGTTATCATTCCAGAATGATGTGTTCCTTCCGTTGTTCACTCTTATGGAGGAGTGATTCTTCATTATTGGCCAAAGTTCTCTGATGGATTTCCACACACTTACTCCATGTGATGTTCTGACTTTTTTTGACACCCAATTGTTTTCTTCATCATACTTTGCTTTGATCACTTTGGACCATAAAGATTCGGGTTCTTTAGAGTACTTCCATAACCATTTAATTCTAAGAGCCTTGCTTTGGTTCTTCAAATTCCTTATCCCCATTCCACCTTGTTTTTTATCCATTGTTAGCGTCTTCCAATTGACTAAATGGAAGACCTTTTTCTCCTTATTGCCTTGCCAAAGGAATGTTCTTCGGAGTTTGTCCAATCTCTGTAAAATGCCTGCTGGAATTGGGAACAAAGACATCATGTAAGTAGGTAGAGAGTCTAATACTGAGTTGATTAGAACTAGCCTACCCCCCAATGATAGGTACTGCGATTTCCATCTTGACAACTTCTTCTCACACTTTTCTATGACTGAATTCCAGATTTCTTTTGATTTGGATCTTGCACCAAGAGACATCCCAAGGTAGACAGTTGGTAGGGACCCAACTTCTCCTCCCAAAATCTGAGTCAGTTGCCCCATGTTGTTAACTTCATTAATGGGATAAATATTGCTCTTTCTCCAGTTAATGTGTAATCCTGATACTCCCTCAAATAAAACCAAAATGATCCTTAAGAATCTAAGTTGATCTTTTTCAGCATCACAGAAGACTAGAGTATCATCTGCGTATTGGAGATGTGTGATCTCTAGATTGTTAGCCTCACTCCTGTTTACCTCAAAGCCTTTAACCCATCCACTGACTTTAGCCGTTTTGATCATGTTGTTCAATCTTTCCATGGTTATGATGAATAGAAAGGGAGATAAAGGATCACCTTGTCTGAGACCTCTGTGTGAATGAAAATA